CAAGGCAACTCATTTCGCCACTGATGAGAAGGGGAATAATATGGGGAGAAGGATGTTACAGGAATTAAGCTGAGAACCAAAGTTTCCCAGGACAATGTGGCAAGTAATGTCCACAAGCAACAGTCACCAAGCTTCAAGAGTAGAAAGTAAAAGACAAAAAGAACATCACACTGTGGGAAGAAAGAGGGAAAAAAGGAGTGGTGAAATTAAATTAAACTGTGTTTCAATGTTAACAGGAAGCAATCAACTGTTTTAGTGGCTCCAGCCTAGTGTGAGATAAAAACATTTATCTTGCCTTCAGGAATATGAGTTTTCGGCTGAATTCAAGCTTAAGCACCTCATCAAACCATGCCAAGTTGACAATTTGGGAACTACTGCTGAGTTTTTGTTAGAAAGCCTGAGAGAAACCGCCATTATATTATCAAATTGGCCAAATTCTTCTCAAGGCAGTTTAATCTTTTTTTGTATTTATTATAGTGCATAATACATTATATAATGCCTTATAAATATGTATAGTGAAGCACAATGGTACCTGAGAGAAAACATGGTTTTAAAATAATGTGTAGTAAGGGAGGAAATATAAAACTGTAACCTGCCCAGGCAGAATTTTTGAGTAGGTAAGAAAACAAAAACAAATGTAATGCATCAGAAGAGAGACAAAATTTCCCAAGTGAACTTCAATAAGCTCTTTTTGGAAAATTCAAAAAAATAAAAAATTGTGAAGGCATACCATGCCCTGTCCAGAGCCAAAATAATAAAATCTTAATGGCTGTGGACAGAGACCTAAACATTACAAATATCATAGTTTTTATGGAAGGTTTCTTTAAGAAAAACTAAAAGCTTAATAAATAAAATGCAAGGTTCCCCAATGTATGCTGCTTATAAATCCATTCTAGCCAACCTGATCTCACCAATATGAACCGAAAATAAGGCTTATGTTATGCTGCTTCCACAACATTTGATAAGAGCCTTGGTGGCACAGTGGTTAGAGTGCAGTACTGCAAGCTACTTCTGCTGCAGCCAGCTGCCTGCAATTTGGCAGATCAAATCTCACCAGGTTCAAGGTTGACTCAGCCTTCCATCCTTCCAAGGTGGGTAAAATGTGGACCCAAATTGTTGGGGGCAATATGCTGACTCTGTAAACTGCTTAGAGAGGGCCGTAAAGCATTATAAAGTGGCATATAAGTCTAAGTGTTATTGCTATTGCTATTTGTAAAAACCAGTGTTAAATGATGAACAAAATTCATATGCAGAACAGATATCAAGAAAATACAGAGACTTCCGGTTTGTCGGCTTCGGAGGTGGCGGGGTTTCGCGATCTCTGCGATCCCCGCCGCGCTAGCCGCTCTTGGTTCCTCCGACCCAGACGGGTCCGGAGGATAAGGTTGCCCCGTAGAGGCAACCGAAGACAGGGAGGATCCGGACAAGGGGTTGGGGTGTTCGCAGACCCCTTCCCCACCCGGCTTAACCTCCTTTTCTCAAGTCGGTCCAGCGGCGGTCAGCAATGGCCGCCACGAAGAAGCCAGCAACCGGACAAGATCGTGCTGGAGGAAGAAGGAGAAATTTTTGAAGCGAAAGTTTTTTTGGCTGAACTGGGATTAGAAGATATATTTAATACCCTGAAATCTAAGATTTGGTTTTTTGTTTGAAAGATACTTTGTTTCCAGAAGAGATTGGCAAGCGGCGAGTGAAAGTGTTTTCAAGTGAAAGTTTACTCTCCTTCCACATGGAGTTAACAAATGAATGCTGAAAATACTACTATTCTATAAAAGGTAAAAATCTAAAGCTTCTTGTTATAAATGGGAAGGGAGAGGACAAAAGGAAAATTTATACTAAGATTTTGTTGAAGGAGATGCCTGGAAGATTTTAGAGATTGGAAGTTACTGTAATAAGAACTTAAAATACAGACTGGTTTTCTTTTTCTCCCTTTGCAACTGATTTTAACCCAGGAAGAAGGGAAGAATTTTGTGCTTTGTTTGGATTGTTTGGTGACTTTGGGACTTTGGGATTTGCTTTAAGCTTGGAAATATCTTTGGCTGTTTTAAGAAGAAGAAGAAGAGGATTTACAATGACTTTATCTGCTGATGAACTGAGAGAGGAATATGGCAAAATAAAGAAAGACGATGTGGGAGAAATTTTTTGCTTTTTAGAAATGGCGCTTGATACTTATCAGCAAATACAACAATTGATGGAAGAAGAAGAAGAAGAAGAAGAAGCCATCTTTAATGAACCCATAGAGGTGCTTAAGAAAGGAAGAAGAAAGAAACGGGGGAAAAAAGATATAAGACTTAAAAAAATATCTAAGAAAGAGAAAAATAAGATGCAAAATCAATATAAGGCTAGAAAGCAAAAGGAAAGAGAAATACAACAGAGAGGGGAAGTTAAGGGGGGTAAAAAGACCAGATGGGATAAGACAGGGAGGAAGAAGGGGGGAAAAGGCCACGAGGGTATCAAACAAGATGTGAAAAAGAAATGTTTTTTTAGGGATAAAGGGTAATATAATTTGGTTTTAAAAGGATTCTGCAAGGTACATATGATAGTATTGTAGTATTTGTATTAGATATAGAAAATTATAACTTTATAAGATTTGAGTAAAGACTAAAATATTAAAGGTTTAATAATGGTAGAATTTAAGATTTAATAAAATATTAAAAGGAAGGTCTAAAATATTTAGTTTAAATATAGAGTTTAATTGACTATTGCGTGGATGTTAGTATGAATATATTATTGTAATACTTGCTTTTGAAATAGATAATTGGAATGTTATGAGATTTAATGTTTAATGACATATTTAATTATGTTATGGATTCACTATTTTCTTTTTGTAAGTAGTATTTACTAAGCAGAATCAGATAGGGAATTTGGAGTTACCTTAAATGTTAATTTAGAGGTGCGATGGAAAGGCATCATACTTTGATTTGTGATTTCAGGAGAAATTCTTTTATTTTACTATGGGGAATGAAATATATATACAATTGGAAAACAATGGACAAAGGATAGAAATATAATGATTTAAATTAAGTTAATAAACAAAATAGAATTAAGAAGAGAGGAAAGCGGGGAGAAGTTATAAAGAAATTACAGAATGGTAATTAAGATAGGTAATGGCATATAAGATGAATATGAATTTAATTGAAGTCCATACAAAGAGTGGTAATCCGGGGCCAAGCTACTTTTTTGAAAAAGAAGTTTTACTTTATGTGTTTTGTGTGTCTATGTCTATGTGAGATTTAGTAAAACCTTGGAGGAAAGCGGGAGGAGAATAATTGCAAACAAGACAGAGGGAAATATGAATATGATGACTAAATTTAAAGAGAAGAAATGAGAGTGTTAAAAGATATTTAAGTAGAAATGGGATATATTAAAATCACACTGTATAAAATATTGTATTATCTGCCTTGTAAAAATTTACAAGGGAAAGAGGTTTAATGTGTACAAGGTTTATGTTTTGTTTGTCTTCAAAAATTAATAAAATTTGTTTAAAAAAAAAAAAATACAGAGTTCGGCGTCCAAACATTATTCCAACCTTAGTGAAGTTAAGCAAGTATAAACTTGCTTCAAGATCTCAACAGGAAATCAGAGCCTTGTATAGGAACAGTATATGCACCACATATTTTACAATCCACAGCAAATATATTCTTACCTGCTTCTCAGACACTGTGCTCAAACTGTGTCCTAGTCATATGGACATATCTATTCTTCTGTCATTATTAAACATTATTAAGTCAGGCTATGAGAGCCCCAAGACTTGGAAACTGAATTGTGTTGGGTTTTCATATGATTAAATATTTCACTGATAAGCTGTTTCCCTCCTAAATTTAACCAAGGAGGGAAAAGAATCCAAACTTCACACTGAAGGAAAGCGTTCATTAGACTAATATTAAAAGTATTAGTTTACGAGAAATCAAGAGTCACCTGGCATACTGGCTAAATACCAGGGAGGGGGATAAGAAATGTAACATTTAAACTACATCTTTCTTTCTTTCTTCCTTCCTTCCTTCCTTCCTTCCTTCCTTCCTTCCTTCCTTCCTTCCTCCCTCCCTCCCTCCCTCCCTCCCTCCCTCCCCCTTCCTTTCCTTACTCTCTCTCTCTCTCTCTTTAATCAATCTATCAAATTTATTTGCTGCCCATTTTCAGATGACTCTTACTTAAATTTAAAAACACCAACCACACTTTTCCTTACTTTTTTTTTCAGTGTTGGTCATCATGGCTGTTTAAATAAAGTACATGAATCCAGTCACAAACTAATAACATAATCTAATGCAGTGTTTTTCAAACTTGGCCATTTTTAAGATGTGTGGACCAGAATTCCCCAGCCAGCATTTTGAAAAATACCAATCTAATGTAATAACAGGGCTAGCCTTAATATTTTCTTAGACCTATGAATACTTTTACCTTAACACTGAAAAACTTTCTTCAATATATTCTAGATATTGGGACTACAATGTCCACAACTATTAGCTAAGTTGGCTGGCTGATTCTGGAAGATGGAGCAACAGAATCAGAGGACATCAAGTTAGGGAAAGCCTCTCTCTCTCTCCCCCCTCTCCCCCCCCCCCCCCCCCC